TTGGCCCACCTCGTTTGTCAAGGTGTCCGTCTAGACGTTCATTCCTAGCGGCCCGTTTGTCTTTAGCCCAGTTGTCCGTATGGAGTGTGTACCCAACGGCCTGTGGCCTGTTTAACACGATTGCTCGTCTGGAAGTCCATACCCAGCGGCTCGTGGTCTTTAGGTGTTGGCGCTCAAAAAAAGTCAAGGGATTGGGAGTTCATTTGCAAGTGGTCAACCGGTTAGATTCAAAATGACCCGGTTGTCCACTTGAGGGGGAGTGTTAGAGTTTATCCCACATCGGAAGTTGAATAGAAAAGTTATCGGTATATAAGGTCTTGAGTTGAACTAAGTAATCGATTGGATTCAATCTTTTAATGTGGTTCAACTCAAGTGTCTTATTACCCAATCCAGTTGTCCATACCCATCCCAAATTCTATCATACGGGTTCTCATGTAATTAGGAATTTAGAATAAAATTTAAGAAACCAATAGTACATGGCATTGTAATGGTTTTAGAAACCAAGAATCTTATGAATGATATATAAGTTTTAGAGTTTATCTTTATTTCTTGAAAGACGTCACTTCTTTGAAAATGAATCCTAGGTTGAATTATCTTAAGAATTGGCTTGCTTAAGTGTGCGATTTAGGTTCTAGTTATATAATCAGGTGTGTTTCTAAATTAAATTCTAGAATAGCCCTAAGTGAGATTTATTGTGTCTCCTTTGAATCTACTTTTCCATATAAAAAATCTAAAAAAAAAACTCTTCCTATTTCAAAATTCCTACTTTCGGTTAATTTCGACTATCTTCTTTTATAAATGTTTCCACTTAGACCCCTCCGTCCCCTACAGGCTACAACAAATGTACTAGGCAATATGCAACAGGCCAAAGACCAAAACGTTCTTGGTGTTCTTGAATGTGTGCATTATAATTATAATTCATTTCTTTGAAACCTTTCTTGAGGAGACATTATATTCTCTATTGCTAGTTTACTTTAGTTTCTTTCCATTCATTTGTCCAATTTTGTAGTTTATAACATCATTTTGGGCTAGGGCTTGTTGACTTGCGGATCGAGCCGTTTAAAAGGCCCGTCCTGACCCGTCCCATCTGTTTTAAAAGAAGCCGAGGCTGAGTTTCCTAAAAATAGGCTCGTCTGTGCCCAGCCCTTTGACATTATAAATGTCAGGTCCCCAACGCATACCTAGTTAGGATTAAGGTGATGAATGATGATGAGCTATTCGTCTTTTAACTTCTTAACAGGTGACATTATCTGCTCTTGGGGAGATATTTCAAGATGCACGCCAGATAATGAATTGGCTTGGAGATTGTGCAAAGGTTTGCGATGTGGGGTTGTTAAGTAGTTGTGGAATCCTTTGACTTGAAATACAATTGTTGAGTGGTCAAAACATGACAGGTGATTGCTTCGCAAAATCAACCTGTTTGCTGGACAACTCCACTTGGTCTTCCAGTGGTGCAACCATATTATAAGAGTCAAAGGCATGTGGTAAGTACTTTAGATATACATTTGACATTCAAACACCAGGTTTTCTATTTACGCTGGATCTATGTGAAAATCTTTTTGAAGTGCATAAATATTGTTTGAAAATGGTGGGAAATGTCTCTTATCAGGTTGCGGTTACTTTGTAAGTTAACCATTTGCAGTATCCAACTATCCACATTGCTTCATTTTACTACGCTTGGATCTTAGAATTTAGGATTTACTGCTCAATGCAATATGTTCCGTTAAGTGCTCAGATATTTAAGGCCATGGTACTCGAAGGACATTTTTTTTAAGTTACACATTGCTGAAAATGCTTGCAGATAAAAACTTCTCTTCAGGAGTTAGCTTTGAAGCGCCGTGTTAACTCCGTAAGTTCTTTGGCTTTTAAATGAAGTTTCCATCTAGTTTCTTCTTTTCCTGGTGTAATTATCTTCTCCTATTAGCATGATCTAGAAACCATAGTAAAATTATAATGCAAACTATTAATTACAAACCATCCTTCTTAGGTTGATGTAAGGAAACAGAGAACTGCTTTTCCTCCAAACTTTGTGCACTCGCTTGATGGTTCACACATGATGATGACTGCCATTGCTTGCAAGAATGCACGATTGCATTTTGCAGGTCTGTGTCCCCCCTTCTATCCGGTGATTCCAGTCTTTATACATGCTAAACTCTTTGTCCTATATGCAAATCCTGTCATTCTTTCGTTACTTTGTATGATTAAGAAATGTAATACGGAGTTATTATTTTCAAGTGGGATTTGGATCTTGGAAAAACCAAGCTGTTCACTAGTTGTATTTACGAATTGCCTCAGTCCTAAAATTATAAATCACAGAGCTATCTCAAGAAAAGCATGTAAAGTAAATAATGCCAGTGAAACTCTACTGGCACCCTAAATTCAATTTATTTGAACTTGTGCATCTAATTCAGTAATACAATCTGGAACAAGTGAGCATATATAATACATTTAAGTGGAACAGTAGAAAGCAGATGTTTCTAGTTCCATTCTCTAGTTAAGGCTTGAGTCTATGGTTGAAAGGAGTTTTGACTTATTGCAGGTGTGCATGATTCTTTTTGGACGCATGCTTGCGACATTGACCAGATGAATCAAATACTAAGAGAGAAGTTTGTGGAGCTATACAGTGATCACCCAGTTCTTGAAAATGTAAGCATCTTAGGACATGAGACTTGCTGAATTGGATCGGTTAAAAGTGTCCAGTCATATTTTTTTGTCAACTTTAAGCCCGAGCTAGTTTTTAAACCAATCTGTGTGTGTG